CCCTCAGTGTTCCCCCGTCCGCCTCTCCTTAGTCCCCATCCGTCTGTCTTTCGCCCCGCTAGCGCCCCATCACCCTACCCCCATCTCCTGCCGTCCCTTAGATCCCGTCCCCCTGGAGCGGCACTCCGGGCCCACGCTCGTCGCCCCCTGCCTGTCCTGCCGCCTCTCCTTTTCTACCGCGGGATTGAGGCCAGGCTTCCCGCCGGGCCTCGCCTCCCGCCCCTGGGACCCTGCCTGGCCCAGCCGGCGCGGCGCCTCCTCCTCGCTCCCTCTTTTCTTTCAGCCTCGTAGTCTTTTCCCCCATCTATCTCCGGGCTGGGCGTGGCTCTAGTCTCCACCATCCCCCTCTTCCCGTCCCGCCCCTATGCCTGTTTGAGCCCCCTCCTCCGGTAGCCCCTTCCCAATCCAGATGCCACCCCTGTGGGGGCCCAGCCAGGAGAGGGGAGGGGGTGGAGGAAAGCAGGGTTGAAGAGGCAGGAGGTAGGCACCGTCAGAACTGCCTCACTTCCCCACCCCCCTGTTTGTCCTTGTCAGGGAGGGGAGAGCCTTACTGAGCCCCTGACTTAAACTTGGTCAGAAAGATTTGGTATAAGTTGGGGGACGTCCCTTTCTCCTCTGGCCCCTACCCTATATCCGTGGACCCTGTCTTGTGCTGAGTTGCCCCATGTAGATACGTTGTGTATCTATCTCCCTGTGTGTTCTTTGTCATTGTTTCTGGGATTTGCCCCTGTGTGTCTTTTTAAATATGTGTGAGTTGCCTCTTTGTGTGTGTGTGTGTATATCTCTGTGTGGGTGTCCTGAGTCTCTTTGTGCCCTTTGGAGCTATGTGTGTACTGTGTTCTTTGTCACCAGACTCCCCTCTATGTGTTGAGGGGTGTATGTGTGTCCCTGTGTGTCTGGAGGGTCCTGTGTTGCACACTGGGTATGTAATGGTGACCCGCTGGCCATGAGTACATTTAGGCTGTTAATTGTAGGAGCTCCACAGTATTAGTGTCAGCCCACTAGGCTCATGTGTGTCTGTATGAGTGTGCATTTGTGTGTGGACTTACATATTCTTCCTCTCTTTCTACCACTGAGCTGCTGTGACCAGGCTGACCTGGTCACTGAGGGAGGGCACTGGTCCCTTGGGCTTCCTCCTTCCTGCTGTGGACTGAACTGGGGTGTGGTGGGCTGGCCGGTAGAGGGCAGTTGTTTGTGTGTGTGTGTGTGTGTGTGTGTGTGTGTGTGTGTGTGTGTGTGA